GCTGCTTCACAAAAACTCGGATTCTTGTTCCGTGCGAAAAGCTACTTTACACCTCAACAGCTTCTTATGATCTACAAAGCGCAAATACGGCCTGTTCTAGAATACTGTTCCCACATATGGGGTTCAGCACCAAAACATACGCTGATGCTCTTAGATTCCATCCAGAGAAGAGCCATTCGCCTGGTGGGTGACGCCACACTCACTCACTCTTTGACATCATTGGAACACCGTAGAAAGGTCGGCGACCTTTCACTTTTCTATCGATACTTCCACGGGAAATGTTCTTCGGAAATCTCTGCAATCATCCCTTCACTAGCAATACCAATCAGACGAACTAGACAAGCCCAGTCAGCACATCCTTTCGTTGTCAACCTCGAAAGATGTCGAACAGCACTTTATCAAGACTCCTTCATCCATAGAACGGCTAGGCTCTGGAATTCATTGCCTGTGGAAGTATTCCCAACAACATATAATCTCCAAAAATTCAAAAAAAATTCCAATACCTACCTCCTGTCCCTATCCTCCCTAGGAACGCACGATGTTCTTTGAACATTATAGGGATTCCCTTTCGTGCGCTCCAATCGATAAAAAAAAAAAAAAAAAAATTCTGTACCTTCTGGATTTCACTTTCTTTTACTGATTTTGCGCCATCGACCTAAGGAGACACCCTTCTGTCCATTTGTGTTCTGGGAGCTTTATTACTGACTCCATTTGTCACCTTTTAGGAGCAGCATTGTAAATTGGAAGGAACAGTTGTACAGAATTATCTCCAGTCCTGGCAAGAATTTAAATTTATAGCTCTCTTTGGGAGATCTTACCAGCAACTGATGATGCTAGTAGGGTGCTTAATCCACTTCACTCAATATCTAGCCCCTGAAATCTTATTGATTGAACTACTAAATAATTGAAAGATAATACTTGAAAGTTTCACCATCATATAAATACTTCATTGTAAGATCCTTGGTCAGATCCTAATATTTTCTCTTGAATGTCTCAGATGAGATTGTTCTGTAATAAATAATGACAGCAGATTATGTTTGCAATATTATTTCATCAGTATCTTGTCTGCCTTATCAGAGAATGGTAAAGATGATATTATTATAATGGAGGGTGTATTTACCATTGCAAATGTTTGCAGATACTGGGAGCAAAAATTTTCATTATTACTAATTATTAGGGCCACTACAGTATAGTCTGTATAAAATGTCTTTGCAGGTGTATAGTCTGTATAATATTTCTTTGCATATTATGTGTTACATCAAGAAATGAATCAAATCAATAGATGTTTCAGTGGAGCAGTGGCATGGTGTTTTAGGAATGGAGTTAAAATGCTAGTATTTCAGTACCCCTAGTATTTCAGTACTGTATGCCTCTGCAATAGCAGACTCAAATGCATCCTGACATAGATACACCTCTGTATGCAATTGGGGTGTTTCAATCTGTATCTGCTCAACTTCAATGAGGCATAGTGCTCATAGAAGTTAGGCACATGTCAATTGTCACCCAGTTGAAGAACTATGTCCTGATAAAAATACTTTCAGCAGTTTTGAGTTCTTCAAGTTATATTTCAGAGGGAGGTAATCCTGTTTATTAATTCTATGAAGAGTATTTTCTATTAATTTTTGGAAAAAGGTGCCTCATCTCTCTGGATACTCAGTGTAGTTTGGACAATTTTGAATTGAACAGGCAAAGAAACATTATAAAGACTATCTTATGTCCTGTTACTCAGCACAGAATTTTTCCACAGAAAATGATTCAGATTATTCTTGATGTTTTATTGTGTTCAATAATGATCCATTTTATGAGTGAAAAACTAGCCCATACTTCTTTCAATCCTATGGGTTCTTCCTCAGTTCTTCTTGCAATACATATCAGGTTCTTTTTTCTCTAATGTGAATGGTACTATGAAAAGTATTTTCTATGGATATTTGGAAGAAGAAGCAGCAGCTTCCAGGACTACTCAGTGTAGTTTGGAGAATTTTGACTTGAACAGGCAAAGAAATATTATAAAGACTATATGAGATCAGTGATCTTATGTCCTGTCACAGCACAGAATTTTTCCACAGAAAATGATTCAGATTATTCTGAATGTTTTATCTTGTTCAATAATTATTCATTTTATGAGTAAAAAACTGGCCCTTGTCATAGGGACTTAAGGTACTTTAACACAAGGAAATAAATAGTCCCATTACCTCATTTCCCTCCATTTTACTCCTTTGATATACAGGGTCCGGCACCTCACCTCCCATCTTCTATAACTCAGTTATTAGTTGAGTCAGGATTTTGATATTTTGACCCCAACTGTCTCATTGGGCGCATTCAAGGAAAATATTTTCGATTATACAAGATCTTCCAAAAAAGTGTAACGTCATAATGATATATTCTTTCAAATTGCATGCCATATATTTTGTTGCTCATTTGAGTGCTTCCAACATATTCCTGGAAATTAATTGAAATCGGTTCAGTGATGTTCATGTAAAAAAATATAAAAAAAAATGTTTTTTGCACCACTGGTCAAACACATTAATAACAAAAAATATAGTGCCTCGCGAGGTGCCTCGTCAATAGGGATCGACCGATACCGATATTTATATCGGCCTATTGATATTGGCCTCATTGGCCGATTATCGTATCGGCCGATATCAAAAACCGATAGACCGATATATTTTTTTATTGGGAAAAAAATCAATTTGCAGAATGAATGAAAAAAATACACTTCCATCAAAAATATATCTTTATTACCAATAAAAAGTATGTAACGTAAAAACAACTAAATTCTTTGACTAGTAATTAAAAATTAATAAAATAAAATCCTATGCGGATTGCAACTGTAAGGTAAAATTATTTCACCCTACTAAAATACAAAAATAACTGATTAATACTGATGATTTAGTTTTGGTAGGTTGTGATGCAAAAACAATAAGCTTTCTGCCCTATCAGGAGTTAGCCTGCTACGTTTTGCATCATAAATATTACCAGCTTCAGAGAAAACTTGTTAACGGCCGATAGACCGATATATCGGTATATCGGTATCGGCCGATTATCGGTATCGGCTAAAATTTCTATATCGGTCGATCCCTACTCGTCAATAAAATGATAGGAGCTATGCATATCGAATAAGGCCTAAGAGGGCCGCAAACTGAGTTTGGTTGTTTGATTGACAGGAATCATCACAGGTTATGCAAAATTTAGTGTCAAACTTTTCAAATTCCAATGCACTCAAGTCATTCGATGCGTGATAAAAAAAACTTTTTTTCTGATAACAACCCTATCTAAATTCCTATCGTATCAAAAGTTATTCGCACTGAAATGTGCAACAATATATTTGGCAAGCCATTTGAAAAACTAATATATCATTATGACGTCACACTTTTTTGGACACCCTGTATAATCAAAAATATTTTCCTGGTATGCGCCCTATGAGACAGTTGAGGTCTGCAAAGTATCAAAATCCTGACTAAACTGATAACTGAGCTATAGAAGAAGGGAGGAGAGATGCAGGACACTATATTAATAAATAATAATTATTGAATCAGGAATAATTATTGATTAATCTCATTCAACCTGAAAATAATTTGATTTTCATAGTTATTCAGATTGTAAACTCATTGCATGCATGCAATGCATTTATTTGTGACTGAAGATGTTTTTTTCATAAATAATATGCAATGTAAGAGCAGCTGTTTTTTCAGATATTCCTTCTTCTGTTCCTTCTTATCTACCTCTCTAGCTTTGCATTACTTGAACAATTCAAACGTAGAGGAAGAGAAGATTATTTCAGTTCTGATGAAGATGAAGTGACAGTATATAGAATCAGTACTTGGCTGTGTACATTTTCTTTGGCCGTCTCTATTTTAGCAGTTTTATTGTTGCCAATATCTATAATGGCAAATGAGATACTTGTGAATTATCCAAATAGCTTTTACATGAGATGGCTGAATTCTTCTCTCATACAAGGTAAGTCAATTATCATCATTGTCAATACTGGTATAATGTGATGAAATAAAAAATGATCCTGGTCAAAGATGTATGAACACTTGTCTCTAGGAATTTGCATTAAAATAAGATTCTGGTTATTATTTTACGAAATGGATCTCAATTTATTGTTCTCATTTTCATTATCAAATTCGTGTTTTTCAGAAAAAAATACGTAATTACCAAAAAAAATTTTGGAAAAAAAAACATTGCATGATAAATGCAGTTTTACTTTTTTAAGTACAGTGTTTGTAGTACATGTTAATATGATAGTTGCAATTTGATCATAGGAATGAATTCTGCATTCATTGCCACAAGGCAAATGACCGTTTTCAGAAAGAAATCTGAGAATGTATTGAGTTAAGAATGCCCGTTTATTATAAATAACATTCAAGAAAATTTCGTCGAATTCAGAGATTATTTTGTTGAATAAAATATACAAATACAAAACTAACTGCACTATCAAAGCTTTTCTCTTTTTCCTCTACTCATACTTTTTATGAGAGAGTAATTGTCTTCTATTATTAATTCATCATTATAAATTGAGCTCTGTTTACTACTGTACTTAGATGGAGTAAAATCCTCGCGGTGAATTGCATATACCCACTTTTTCGATAGTTCCTTGTCCAACGGGAAACTAAAAGCATGAACTTTTGGAACACCCACATAATTCCCCCGACAAAAGGGAACACAACACTTGAAAGGCATTGTTATTTCACCTATCACAACACAAAATATTTCACAAAAAAGTAATCTTTCCGCCAATTATTTTGATGAATAAACAACAAAAGAATTCGGGACCGCTTCAAAAACATACGTGAATTACCGATGAATTAACACAAACTGACGCATTAGTCGACAAGCGGTAAAACACTGGCCTCTCTTAGGTGACGTCATGAGCTGTTTACGTCAGAGTCTGCTGACCTTCTAATGTCGATGGTAACGGTTTTACACTGGTTCATCGGATATTATCTTCCGAGAGGGGCGAAATATTCTCGGAAATATTAACGCTCTGCCACTAATTTAGCTCAGTTTGCATCGCGGAACGTTTGGATATTCGCAAAGGGGACATTATCCACTTTCATTTGCTCTTTGTTTGGACTCGTTATCACATGACGGAAGTATGTCCGGATTAACGGCTGCAAATAAATGGATGTGCCGTGGATTTGGCTCAAGGGGTAGCACAGGTAGATTTCCTCTCGTGCATAATTTAATTTAAAAAATTCAAAATGATTCTAGAAATCATTTAACGACTCATAGTAGTATGGTAATAAATTCACAATATGAAATATTGAACAAACTTCTTGATTTTTCTCCAAAAAACAAATAACTAAATGTCCACTCTTGTGGACGTTATGCATTTTTCATCATCATAATCAATCCCCGACTGGTATGAAAATAATCCAAACAATCAGGACAGCAAGTTCATCATACATTTTACATATACAGGGTGAGTCATGACTAAGTAGCCATAGCCTAATGGCGGATAGAGGAAGTCAAGGTGAGTTGATATAGATATATATGTGAAGAAATGTATTTTGCCTATTCGTAACCAAAATACAGGGCATTTGATGAACGATATTTGAGGAACTTCTATGTTATCGCGACATCCAGAGCCGGACTTTTTCACCTTCTGTGGATCATATTCTACAAAAACCATAATCCGACTCAGAAAAATCAGGGAAAATGCTCCAAGTGTGGCTCTTCAATTTGTAAGGCACAATTTCACCGATTTGGTAAAAAAATATCAAACATAATTCTGGCGAATATTTCTTCGATTTCGTCCTAGCACACTACCTACTTCCACATTCGACCAAATGTATTCAAATAATTTTTTTCGCATATTGATATAGCAGCAGAGAGTTGACAAAAGATATTATTCAATAAAAAAAATCAGGACCGGACTTGGTTTCTGGAAAGAAATACAAAACAATTATAATTTCGGAATCCTCCAGGATTTCGAAAAATGTTTGGAATTCATGTGAATAACCATCCACGTCAACAAAAAGAACAGTCTGGAAACGAAAAGTAAAATAATCAGGTCATGAAATGCATGGCGTCCATCAGGTTGGACATATAGTTTTTCCGATTTTGACTGAGGCACACTGAAATATTTCGTTATTTTATATTTACATTGCTAACTATAGGTTACAATAATCAACATGTAGATTCATTACATTTTTTCTACCGCCTCCATAAAATGTTCTGACAGAAACAACATTGAAGTCTTCAGCAACCATTTTACATTAGTGCAAATATGATACAACATATAGAATGAACCAATGATTTTTTTCTCAGGAGGTGGTAACACTGGGGATATGTCAAAATATGTCTAATATTGCCAACCATAAATAGTTTTTGATGAAACATGGAATATTTCCATTGCTTACAACTACTTATTCCTCCTGTCCACTGTAGTGGGCATTATGCATGAGAGGGTTAAGAACCACCATTCAATTGGTATCGGATAGCATAATTTTTATCTCGTTATCAAATCGCGAAATTGAGTGCAAATTAACGCACAGGAAAGTGCCATTTTCCAATCATTTTGCTCAGGATAGTGATTGGCACAGATGCCGTTCGAAAAAATACAATGATTTTACATACAAATGAATAAATAAATAAATGCCTTTGAAACATATAAAATTTCATTATCAGATGGCGGTCGAAATTTGCAGCCGACTCTTCTACTATTCGCGATAGAAAATAACACGTCACCCCACCTGACGGCAGCAACTTGAACACTTCTGAGCGGTTTGTTTTGATGATATGACCAATAAGCACAAACAAAAAAGGAATCTGAACCAATGAAATCAAAGTAAACACGCCGCTTTGACAGCTTTCAAGAACTCCGATAGGTGGCGTACGATTATTTTCTATCGCGAATAAGGAGGGCCAGTATGGGAAACTACGAGAGAGACGGAAATGGACTTTAAAAAATATCTGATATGACTTTTCGTTTTTGAGTTATTTCCAAGAAACGGAATTTCTGAATTTTCAATTTTAGTTTTTTCTGGCGTTAATAATGAAGTTATGACAATACTGAAAAAACATCTTCATAGCAACTTTTTATGCTTTTTAATTTGGCATCATCGATTTTCTGATCTAAAAAACATCATCTACTTCATTTTTTCAAATACGGCGCTGAAATAATTATCACCTTCGAAGTTAATCTGTTTTTGTTTTAGGCTTATGGAACCATGTATTCCTCTTTTCAAACCTTTCACTATTTGTTCTTCTGCCTTTTGCTTACCTTTTTACTGAATCAGAAGGATTCTTCGGACATCGTAAAGGTCTTTTGCCTAGAGTATATGAAACATTCACTGTACTAGGTCTCTTAGCTTTGGTTGTTCTTGGAATGACTTATGTCATATCTGCTGTAATAGACAAAGATAATTCCAGTATACAAACGATATTGAGTAAGTTGAGTCACTTTGGTGTATGGAACCCATTTTTATTCTCATAAATTTTGATTTTCAGATTTATGGACGTATTATTTACCGTTCCTTTATTCATGTATATCCTTTTTTGGTGTACTGATGCTTCTAGGTAAGTCCAATATATTATTCTGTTTTACATAACTCAATTAAATTTGAACGTCTCTATTTCAATATCCAGCAAATTCACACTGAATTAATTGAATATGTAGATTGTAAAATAGACAACTTATCATTAGAATTCAGAGATAGCTGTACCAATAAGGAATTATGTTTGTTTTCACATTATATTTTAACTAGGCAATAAATAATGTATTGTTTTTTAGTTTGCACGCCCATTGGTTTTGTTTGTTTATTCGACATAGTTGGGCAATTTCTCATAAAACCCCAGTTCCTCAGAGACATTAATGAGGAATTTTTCGCGTGTGCCTTGGAGGAAGAGTGTCTTCGCAGGAGATTGAAACAGGCTCAAAAGACAGGGAAAGCCTACATGGATCCTGCACCAATGTTGATAGAACAAAATGGTCCTGTTTGTGATGATGACTATGCATCTTCATGTAGTCTAATGAGATTGAGGAATGGTGAACTTCAATTTGGTTTGGGAACAAGACTGATGGATATTGAAAAGCGAAGAAAACTTTTGGGTAGGAACTTCAGTTTTGCAAAATCAAGCTTATAATATGATGGTTGATAACTTTTTTCTCCTGTAAATATCATTGTATGTCAGTCACCTAAAAATTAAAGGTATTATCCTATATGAAATTCAAATAATAATTTGAAACGACACTTCAAAATTGACTATAATTATTTCTAACCAGATTAGTAATAAAAAATGTGATTTTAAAATATCCACACTGAACTATAAGGAAAACTCCAAACTGACATGTACCTTGTCACATGATTATTGAAACAATTAATTTCAACAGTCCAAAAATATTCTTTTACAGATAAACAAAGGCAAACATCGTCGCTCAGAAGAAATGTTGTTTACCCCGTAGCCATGTTATTGCTACTAGGATTAACTCTGACGGCAGTACTATTAGTAGTACAAAACGCCCTCTCTTTGTTAATTGGTATCAAAGCATTACCTAGTAGTTCCAAGGTATGTAGTTGCCAAAATATAGATGTCATCAAATTCTTTCAGATAGTCAGGTTTCCACATTTTAATTTTTTTTTTTTTTCAGCAATTCACTCTAGGTGTGAGTTCTTTGTCAAAACTAGGGCCTTTCGGTGCCGCTCTAGAGATAGTGTTGATAGTTTATTTGATAGTAACATCTTCTATTGGTCTATACACAGCACCGTGTATGAAACGGATGAGACCTAAACTGAAGAGCACACCATTCTGTCTTCTGATTGCTAATTGTGCCTTGTTGTTGATTATTAGTTCTGCTCTGCCATTGTTGTCCAAAATTTTAGGTGAGTATTTTGTTTTGAATCATTAAGATGAGTGTGATGGATTAAAATCGATATCATAATAATTTTCCAACATCCTTCAAAGAATTCAGTTATTATTGTAAAATGAAATTGAAATCAAATTAGTTACTATGGAAATTGCCATCTAATGCTCGGATGTAGCCTGTTTCATTACTGTGGAGAGATATCGAAAATCTCCAGACAGTAATAAAACTTTTTAATATACTATTTTATTTCCTTCTATATGAGAATCACTTTTGCACTTTCAACTAAAATAAACTGAAAACATGAAAGAGTGACATTTCCCAACTCAAAAAACATTCACTTGACTAATGTTATACAAGTATGCAGAATTCATTTTTCTCACTGAAATATACTAAGTGACAAAGAAAGGTGAACACACTTGTGCAATAACTTTATTAAAATCATTTTTTGCTCACATATTCTGCAAACAATAGCATATAATTCATAAACATTTCATCAAAAATTCTGAAAATGTCATTAGTTTTTATTTGCCCCTGCATAGGTCTGCATACAAATAGAATTATTTATCTTCCTTTGTCATTTGGTATATTTTTTTACCAACAAAGTAACCTGAAATCAATCACAATATAGAGTTACCTATGGGATCTATCACCAAGCAAGACCAATCATCTGATTATAAATGAATATCTCACAAGTGTCACATTTAATAACATGTCCAATGAATCTGGTGGAACTCAAGATTCCTGGACCGACTGGAGCTGATAGTGCAAAATTTACATACAACATACAAAGTTGCCTCGTTTTGTCTCTTAATGTCTCTCTTAACGTGAAATCCGCTATAGTTTGGACTTGATGAGCGTAACTTTTTGTGTACAATCTGGTACATCAGCCCTGTATTTTTGTTATATTTATATTCCAACTTCTGCATTCGAATTTAAGTAATGAATTATGACATTTCAACAGGTATTACCAATTTTGATCTCCTAGGAGATTTTGGCAGAATAGAGTGGCTAGGTAACCTCAAGATTGTATTATTGTACAACCTCTCATTTGCTACTGCTTCAACACTGTGTGTTGTAAATAAATTTACTGCAAAAGTTCGGAGAGAACTCTATAATCGATTAGTTGAAAATTACATGTTTTTATCTAATTGTGTATCATTTTTGAACTGACTCGTTACATAAGCAAACTATTTACATGTATGTTTTTCGAGAATTGTTAAATATTATATTAACACAATGATGGCTATTAATTATTCAACAAACCTGTTCAACCAATAGTTATTTATCTTATTCTTGCTAATTTCACTTGTACTCGTAAAACTTCTATTTGTCACCAAAAATAGTATACCAGAATATTATAAATATCCTTGTATATCTATACATTCCTATGACATGGTTCTTAAAAAGCAATATTGAATAGATATGATAGATACATCCAGAAATCATTTCATAAAATTGTTCGGTAATGTCATTTATGTACTTCTAGTAAGTAATTCATCATTGTATGTTTTTATAATGTACTATTAGTTATCTATGATCTAATGAGTGATTCAGCTGTAGATGCCCATGGCAAAATACTATTTAGAATAATTCTACCAATAATCCAATAATTTCACATATCTATTATTTTTTGAAAAAAAAAATCAGTTAGATAAGCATATTATTAAATATTTAACCTGCCATAGTCATAAATTTCAATGGTAGGGATGTTCGATATTGCTCACACGTGGCCATCACTAGTGTGGTTGAGGGATCAACCGTCATCTACATGACATGGATACATGAAAACTATATAAAGGAGAAGTGATGATACTATATACCTGAATAGAGCTCTTAAAAATTGTTGAGTGTCACAGACTAAATGGTAGACAGAGAAAGCAATAGCGGACTTCTTTTAGAGATAACTTTTCTCTCTTTCTCGTTCACGATAGTAAATAACTCAACTATGTGCTTGATCAATGTAACATTATCATCCTAATAGCGATAATGAAGTTTCCTAAACAAATTTTGTTCCTACATGAATTATCAAAGATTGACAGTTGACATGACCTTCAACCTTACCAGTGTCATCTGCTTTGAGCTTTCCAGATTAACTGACATTGACAGCTAACTGGTGAAACCACCACCAAGAACATGATAAGTCTTATTATCGTTCCTTCAAGTTATCATGAGAGGATTTTTCCCACTTGATGTTTTCTAGTAATGTTTTTTATTTTTTCATAAATTTCACGTACAATCGTTGTTTAGTTACTAAACCTAACTACTGGTTAACTGTCATTATGTACTGATCATTACCATGGGTAGAATTTTCCTATTATAATTTTTATCAATTATCAAAATAGCTCAATATTAAATTAACAAGACGATATCTCATTTTGTCATTCCATAAATTCTCATAAATATTTTGATCTCTAGTAGAACTAAAATATTCTTTTCAATATTATAATATTCTTATATTAACCTTTTATGTATGTCCTTATTTACTTCAACGCATGTTTTTAAACATCATGTAGTGTTGATGCGATATTATGAAGAAACTTCATACTGTGTGAGTGTTAAGTAATGAATGGATTCAATAAGTCGTTCTGTCCTTCTTTCACTTCTTCAAAAATATTCAGGGTGATTGGCGTTGGGTAAGAAAATGTGTAGTTTTTCATATGGGACTTGTATTTTATTTCTTAATCAGATAGGGATGAGCATTACAAATTTGAGGATACTAGGTTTGATGAGGGTATGCCTAAAGATGTTTTGTTTCCACCACTAACCTAAGAAATCGCCATTATTCGAGGTTTCCCCTAATTAGAAGTAACTCTTCACAAAACTAGGTTAATTGATAATAGTATATTATGTAATATGTGTTTTAAGAAGCATATTACGCACGAACGGAAAAGTTACGCACGTAGCCGGGGAGCGGCGAGTGCGTAATTCCATGAGTGCGTAATTGCTTTACAACACGCATTACGTACTATACTTCACCTACTGCCATATAGTACATCAAAAAAGTTCGGACAAACAGTCTGAATTACAATTCTTGGCAGTTATGTCATCCGCTGTTGACGGCGATTACGCGATCATGACATACCTATACTGGCGGAATAAACGAAAACTGTGCGATGTGCTTACTGTGCGTAAAGAGCTACTTACTGAGGCTGTATCTCGTGTGCTCTTGGCTACTTGCTATAGTGGCTGTAAAGTATGAAAAATGTATCAATAAAAACAATTTCAGTTATGGTGGTCGTGTATTTTTAATATCTGCAGGCGGGGTACGGTACAAGCTTCCTATCAACATGAATGTCACGTAAATTTTCACTCGGTTTCGTAGTTATTCACAATTTCTACTGGAATTTCAACACACCATTTATTTTCGGACAGCCAAGTCGAATTTTCGTTTGTCTGTTTGACAACTGAAATCCTGGCCAAACTTGATAAATCAAAATTTTAGTAATATTTTGATTAATGCTGGATATACACGATCAATGCTATTGCTCCTTCAATAGGGATGAAAATCTGAATTGATGAAAGATGTTGATTTTCCAGTGTTATATAGTACCTAGTGGAAAAAATATTATATATACTTCGGGTGAGATGCTATTATATAGATTAAACTCATCATAGATTTCTTGATTATAATTTGATGTTGATATGCATATGTAGCTTTCAATCGAACAGCATCTTTTGCAATGGAAGAGAACAATAGTTATTCATTATACAAGGGAGACAAAAAACCGTGAGCAAAAATCTAATATTTCTTCTGTGTATAATACACTATTTTTTCCGTGACAGGAACAAGGACAAATCAATATTGAGAAGATATTACATAATATTGAAATCAGAAAATTAAGTTTTAACTCTTTTCCTGTGGAAAAGAAGTAATTTATGAAAAACGACATTCTATTAACTGTCAACAGAGATGAAATTTCGAACTTTTTTCCCGTCACAGAAAAAAATATTGCCTGTTAGAAATAATATCTGGTCCGAACAAAAAAATCTGTTGGATCTGTTATTACAGGAGATGGATTTCCGATATAATCGTGTAGTCTTCAGGCATCCCCTCATCAAAACTGGCATCGTTGTATTTGTGATGCTAATCTCAATTTAATTATGGCATAATGTACAAGGTGTGTCACATGAAAAAATGATCACTATTATTAGTCGAAATCAACCTGAATGAAATATTTTCGATAATAATAAATATGGAAGAGTTATTGAATTTATACACTACTACTACATTTTGAAAGTTGGATTCTGAAGATTCGTCAATCAAAATTTTGGGCATGTACTGAACTTTCTATGCCTCACAATGTAAAATTCAAATTGATAACCACAAACCATCACAGGCTGATGGGGCTGTGGGGGTAATTACTGGAATTTTTGCGTTATCATTCCATTAAAACTCTAAAATTTGACGTTTATTCATGAAATCGCCTTAGCAACCTCAAATAATTACCTTGTTATATTGTACCACTCTGTGAGTTTTCGCAAGTTCAATATTTCTAGTTCAGTTAAACATCAAATCATCATATGAAGACGTTATATTAGATTACATATTCTGACGTATACGTGTCTTTTTTGGAAATATTTACATGGTTTCGGTGGCTTCGTTTCGACCAGGTCAAAGTATTCTCTATAATACAAATAGAAGAACAGAACTCATCAAAATCAGCAAATATTAACAAGATTTGAAATATATAAGGTTTAGACCAGTCATAGAAACAGTACCTATTGCTATTTTTGAACGGTAGTATAAAGAAAGATGGTCAAATTAGCTAAAAATTGCTTGATTTAGATATTTCACAAAATGAAAAAAAAAATGGATAGTGTAGTTTCAGCTGATTAGTTTGAAAATTTACTTGACTTGGTCAGTACGAAAAAACTATATTTTGTATGAAGCGATAAGACTGAAAATGTCATTGAAAATGTACCCAAATTCTTGTTTGGCTATTGAACAATAACTTTTTCTTTAGTCGTGAATAACACTGTTTTCGAAGGAATTGATTGATTTACTCGCATTCGTTA